GACATCAAAACGCCCACTGACCATCCTATTCATTTTCAATTCTATATTGTTCTAACAAATCTATATGCTTCGAATTTCCATACCTGCTCGTAGAAGATAAGGATTTAGAAGGAAGGCAAGTAGAAGTTCTTTTCTTGAAAAGTTGTTTGTAAACAAAGATACCCCATAACTGATGTAAGAGTTGGTAAAAGCTTTGAAGGTAGAGAGGAACTAATCCAAGTTTAGATGAATGATTATTCAACTTACTATGTTGCTACATGTAAAATTACCACGAAATCCAAACTTTTCTCTAGATCCAGCTTGTGAATTCAATTTCTATGAATCCATGACTGTTTTACTATTCTCAAGTCATTTCCTATATTTTCTTTGGCATCTGTCGTTCTTCCGCTTCTCTAGTTACTATTTTAGGATTTCATTCACCCAGCCTGAAGAAGTTTCCACAATATAAATCTTAGTTTACGTTTACAAGTTCAAATACAACTTCAAATAGCAAATTTAACAGTATGTACAAGGGATAAATTCATTATAAAATACTACGCCAAAACGTTTTGCCCTGGAAATTCTTCAACTTGAAATGCAGTACAAATAACAAAGAAGAAAGCCCTTCTTTTATAGCAGTCGATAGAAGAATTCCTTAAACGGATAAGTCATTGTTGGGTGATACACGATTCAATTTTACTGATCCAGAGGAGTACAGGGATGCGCCGTATGAGCGGCATTTCGAGATCACTTGATCCGATTTGACTTTCAATGCCTTCTTTCTTCTTCTTAGATTTTGCAACTCTTCTCATGTATTCTACTGATAATGAGATATCAACAAGTAAGTTTTCAGCCACTTTTGGTGGGTATTCTTCGTATTCTTCTCCTGACATCGCCAAAATGATAATATTCTATACAATTTACCAAACCACATATTTTTGCTATATATTGCAGTAACTCCGAATGATTTACTACTACAGTGCTTACGTGCTCGGCACAAGGTTCACGTTAACTTTTCTCGGAAATCTTTGCTATTTATGCCATCAGTGACAGTCACTTCTATATTTATATAGGTTATTTCTACATAGTAATAAATGCAAAAATCAGCTGTTTCGCAGGTGAGGAAGATATAAAGAAACTTTCTTGGAAGTTCTTCTGCTTTTTATTTTCAAGTGTAGTGTATCTAAAGGAGATATCTTATCGCCTCTCCCATAAGGAAGTGAAAAAATGTTCTCGAGTTTTGGGAATTGATGCTCACCTTCCCTCCCCCCCTCCCAATAAATCTTCTAACTTCATGCATTTCGCATGGACAGATTTGTAATGAAAGCTAGTCTAATGGTTACCTAGCAGGTCACATACTATAACAGCTGATTGCATGATCTCCGAAAATCCAATATAGCTTCCTCAAAGCTCCACCGGAAGTTTTCAGGTCACCTGTGAAACCTTAGAATCTTTTCCTTGGAAATGCCATTCAAGAAGCGAAAATCCCATGAAACTTAGCAAAACTTCCAATCAAGACCTTCCCCGACTATCGATGAAATCCTACAGAAGCTCGGCTTGCAGTGAACAAGGAACTTGTGCGGGACCTTTGATTAATAGTTTGTTCATGATATACGCTATTTTGTGCAATAGCAGAAACAAAGCTAAATATTTATCTTCAAGGAAATGTACAATTTGTAAATCATGCTAGGTCAATTTATGGTAAGAATAGCATGTAAGATCATCAATGTGATATGATTCATAAAGCTCAGTAGAATTGATTTGGTCAACAGTAATCAATCAGTGGGGCATATATAAATGAGTCAGAGTCAGAGTGAATTATGAATCTTAGCAGAGTTCAGGGTTAGCAGTAATTGGTGAGGCAGTGGTAAGATAGTAAAGCATAACATAACGAATCGAGAAACTTAGCATAACCTATGCGGGTTACTAAAGAAAAGTGAGTTACATGTAGGTGAGTAAGCGAAACATAACTGAATTGGCATAAATCTCAGCAGTGTCTCGTATAGTTAGGTAATTAGTGAGGCGATATAGGAGTACGGTGTTAGCAGAGTCTAGATGTATTATAAGTAGCAAGTGAGGCATA